TTGTAAGAATAAATTCTGGAAGTCTGAGTTCAATAATTTTAGATTTAAAAGTGAACCTACTATATGAACTAGCCTTGGGCCTGTGTTATGGATGATGAAACTGAGCCAGGGAGGTCAAGTGGGTTTTATGTAAAGGGTTCATAGGTTAGTAGTGTTTCAGAAGTAAACCGTCAGATAAAACAACAAATCTGATTATTTTTGCTTTTGACCTATTAAGATAAATTTTTTTTAAAAAATTAGAGGATTAAAATTATTTTACTATAAATAACTTGTCATTTTGAAGTGCTAATTTGGATAACTAGGTAACTTGAATGGTTATATGAGCCCATTCTTTTGCCTGGTAATGAATCTAGCACTTCGGTTTAAGTATGCTTGTGCAGAATATCTAATATTTGGTGATACTAATTGAGGAAGATTGATTTCTCTGTAATTCGTGCATAAGTAGAATGGTTTCTTAGCTGTGCAGTTCTTGTTGGAGATGAGGGGCAACAGGAAGAGCCAGATGTCCACATAAATGGCTATTTTCCTACTTGTTCTGGGCTGTTAAATATGCTTCTGTTTAGAAATTTTGTTTTTAGATATCAGAGGTATTTTGCCTAGGGAAATCTACCTCAAGTAAAAGTCAACATTAGGCCCTTGTCAGGCAGCTCAGTTGGTTAGAGCATCGTCCCAACCTGCCAAGGTTGTGGGTTCAATCCCCAGTCAGGGCACATACAAGAAGCAACCAATGAATGCATAAATAAGTGGAATAACAAATCAGAGTTTTTCCCACTCTCCCTCTCTCTTCTCTCCCCCCATTCCTCTGTCTCTCTAAAAATCAATAAATTAAAAAAAAACTTTCAAAGTAAAAATTATAGGGAGAAGGGTTTCTATCCCTCAGCGGAGTAGATTGGTTGTCTACACAGTTCCTGACAGAAAAATTCATTGTCACAGAGCTACAAGTAGATGTCCATGGTATCATTGCAAAGAAGATGATCATTACTTGACCAATGAAGGGATTAAATTACTACTTCTCAGGGTTCTAATTTCTCATATACAAAAATTCTTTCAGTGATAGAGCTTCTTTTTTAATCCTCTTAGTCCTTCTTATTTCTCTCAGGCTCAAGGCCCAGGAGATATCTGGCCCCTTAAGCAGAACTAGATATTCAAGTGCTATTCCACTTAATCCTCCCACAGTGAGGACTGGAAAAAATAGCTGATATTGTCAGGCTGCTTAAGTCTATATATGTGTGTATGTTTTTGGTGTTATAGTGTCTTACCTGTCGGTTCCTATTTCTGCCGATCCCAACACCCTAGTGTTTCTAAGATCTTCCCGTGGAACAATGATGATTACTTAAGGACCCCAAGTAAAATCATCTATTAAAAGGTACATGTTATACGTGATGTGTGAATCTTGCTGCTTTATTCCCTCTCAGCTCCATGCTTCTAACATGACTATCAGGGCTAGAAGGGAAGCAAACCTTCAGTGTTGGGGAGCTTTCAGTTTGGAGGCAAATCTTCCTAGTGTGCCCTTCTCACAGGCCCTGTATGTGTTCTCATCTCTCCTGACTGGCCCAAAGCTTGATGGGAATAATAGGGCTGAAGTAAGAGTATAGGCTGGATTGGAGGGGAAACTTGTTCACTTTTCTTTTATATTTAAGTGTCTCTATTTTGTGCGACCTATTAAGTAACAGTGAGTTTATTGAATACTATAAATTAATTATTAAATAAAGAAAATTAAATCAAAATCTCAGTTTTCTAACCAGTTAGTCTTTCCCTTTCTTGTTTCCCATGGTTGTGCAAGGATTAATATATTGAAAAGTACTAGGCAACTGTGTGATATTATTATCAGAGCACTGGAAGAAATTACAGAAGCGTATGGTATACCCGGAGTTGTTAACATTGGTTACCTGGCCAGGAGGGGAAGGTGGGGGATGGTAAAGACCTACAGGCAACATTTGGAGCTTTTACACAGGTAAAACATTAAAAACTCAGCCAAATAAGCCTTGAAGCCAGAGGAGATATCCCGGAATATGCTACAGAGTGAGCCCAGACTAGGCTCTGCAGAAAAGAGTCTCGATTCTAGAATTATGCCTCTGGCTACAGTAGCCACAGGTTATGGTTATTATTTATGTCTCAGGAAACCAATATAAAACGCACAATATGTTTTCACTTATTTAAAGCAGGTATAATACATTGAATATGTTTCATTTTTTAAGTAAAGAAAATGCAAATAATTTAAAAAACATTATTACATACCAGCATTCATGCTTTTAGGTGGAGAGAGACATACATACATACATACATACATATATACAGACATGGAGCCAAAGGTTTGCTGAACCTCAGAAAAAGAATAAAAGTTAGTGAGGTTCTTTGGCTCTAACTTTAGTGTTATCTGCCAGGAATGATTCAAATAATTTTGAAGCTTGTACTCTTATGTAATGAAATAACCTAGCAATTGTACAGTTACTTAAAATTTAATTCAAACTAGGATCATAAATTTGAAATCAATTTGCTGTATCCTTACATTTCTTTACCTGGGGATTACTCTGTTTAGCTCTGTTTTCTGTGTATGTATGTTTTTTGTTTTGTTTCCCTCATTCCCACCCTGAAGATATGCTGGGAATTTTCTTGTGGATAACAACAAAGAAAATTGGAAGCTAAAAGCTGTGGTCAGCCAAAGGTGCAGAATCCTGGTAAAGTAGACAGTACAGCACAGCACTAGCTGGAATGAAAGGGTAGGCATGCCCTGGTGGATGGAGTTCAGAGATACCTAGTGCAGTAAAGGTGGTAGAGGAGAAGGAAAAGGCAGCAGAAGATGAGAGGTAAAGGTGATGAGAACAGGTATATTGTAGGGAATGGTCTTTTTTTCCCCCCTTTCAGTTTGATCATTATTGAAAGGAAGCCATTCTGTAATGAGCAGAAGATGGTCTTAATACTGTGTTTTGTGATGTGATACGCATATTCCCAGACCATTTTCCATGGATTTCCCCAGGAAATGGCTACTGAGGAGCCGCTGAAGTTTTCCCACAGTCCTGTGATTGATATTGAGTAATGTATTATGCTGACAGTAAACTTGAGTGGAGATGGAGATGAGATTTTAGCTGCCATGCCCTCTGTCCCTTTGAAAGAGAAGCCACGTGCATGACTGTACTAGCTAGAATGTCAACCAGTTAAGTCTTGTGGATGTATCATGGCTAACCTGTTGAGAAAGATAGAGTAAATCAAAACCTTCACACACCACTGACTTTAGTAATAAAATCAGCCCTGCTAAAAAAGAGGAGGTAGGCCTAAAATGGTCCCCTTCTCTTAATTCATTACAGCTTCAAAGGGAGAGAGAGCTCCGGTTCATCTCTGAGCAAACAGAGTGCAAAGTAATATTGAATAACACTTTATAATTTTACAGAAAGATTTCATGTATGTGGTATATTTTTTCATTTAACAAAGATGAATGATCTCCAAAGGAAATGGGAAGGCAAAAAGAAAATATGGTTAACATTAGCATTGCTTTATTGAAAATTTGGCTTCTAGGAGTTACTAGGTTAACAAATATCCATCTAAAAGTGCTGTTTTCCAAACAATTTTGTTACATTATCTCAAGCACCCCAAGTTTGTACCACTCTATATCCAGCATATCAGTTGGGAAAATGGGCAAGTTGCTTCCTCTGGAGCTGCTGCCTACCATTATCTAGTTTTCTTGGTGATCTTCTTATGTGAATACCATGGTGATGATTTGATATTACAAATGAGGTGAAGCTCATCAGGTGCTACTGGCCCTTTCTTACAAGTGCCTTTATATAGGTCTCTGACTTCTGTGGGAAGGCCCACCGTTTGGAAAGAGACAGTAGGTTTTTGTGCATAGGGCCCCACCTTGCTCTGATGAAGCTAAGCTAACCTTAATGAAATTAACTTAAAGTAATATTTAAAGCCAATTTCTATGGGTTTTTTTCTGAAAGAAGAATGATCCTCACCCCCAACTTTTGTAGGATATCTTGTTGCAGAAAGTCTACCCCAAAAAATGGGCTGCTATAAGGGAATTATTATGTTTAGATGTGGACCATGGGTAAAAGTAGAATTCTTCATGTTGTGACAGTTTAAAACCCAAATCAGATTGGCTTAATCCTCCTTCCCCACAAAAAGGAGGAATTTTATTGACTTATATATGAAGCCCAGGAAGAGGTCTTCAGGCTTAAGTCTGTTAATCAGGTTTCAACAGCATGGCTGGTAGCCCGTTTTCTTGCTTTTTGTGTCTCAGCTCCATCTTAACAGCTTCTCTCTATCGCAGAGCTACATGCTTCCAGGTTCAAGTTTAGAGGGGAAGAATATGGAATTATTTCCCAGGAGACCCAAGATTTCTTGCATCTCACTTCACTCTGAATGAGTCACGTTTTCATCCCTGAATCAATGCCTGTTCACTGATTGGCTTAGATCTAAATAAATTCCACTAGAAGCATATGGGCCAAGTGTGGGGAAAAGGACAGTTCTCCAGAGGCAAATTAGAGTGGAGTCAACATGAGAAGGTTTCAGGGCTACTGTGCATCAAAAGCACCAGATGCCCACACAGATATGTAATTGCAACACACAGATGTGTAATATGCAAATATTTGCATTGCTTAGAATTATGAACAAAGCTCTTGGACTATATGACATGTCTAACTGAAACTGCCTGGCAAAGGTTAAGTCCATATTGGTGCTAAATTTGGAATAAGATTCAGTTTGCTGAATGATGTACAGTTCATGTAGCCCTCTGAGAAAGGAATCTCTGTGATTGTCAGGGAGGCTGAAAAAACCAGTTTTAGGATCATTGACTTAGGCTGCAGACAGGCTTCTTTTCCCAACATGAGCTAATGCTGATTTACAGGTTACCTCAGGTATAGAAAATGGAGTGAAGAATGACCTGGTCAGAAAGCCCCGTTATGTGTGCTCATAGACATGACTAGGGTCTAAGAATTGCAGTAAGTAAATTTAAATCTTATTTTTAAAAGCAGCTTTTAATTTGTTGACACTTATTTAAACAGGAACCTCTGGAGAGTCAATACAAAGCATACCACATTATCTACAAATAAATGAGATACTGTTAATCAGCGATCAAGAATTTCTCCCATGCCATATAATGGATCAACATTGGAAGTTCTATGTGGAATGTGAGGAGCTAACATTCTAAAGCCTTGTTTTCTTAATAATGTATTAGGTCTTTGTTCGTGTTATTAACTAATGTTCATATTTGACCTCTGTGATCTGGTGGGCCTATTTTAACTTGAATTTAAAATGTGTGTTTACTATTGTAAAAAAAAACATAAGTTTTCAACTACTGAAGTAAGATGAATACTTTTTTTGCCACTCAAATAAAGGCAATTTTGAAGCAATCTATTTTGACTTTTTGGCTTTCTTTTTACTAGCATAAATTTAAAACTAATCTTTTGATCAGCACCTCTACTTTAGTAACAGTTATTCCTTATTAGTAATAAATAACAGTTATTCCTTAAGGGAATAAGGATACAAACAAGAGTGATGATTGGTCTGAGGAATGGAAGGCCTGGATAAAGTGCATCTACTTCAGACAAGAACTTAAAGTCCCAATACCTTTCCCCATTTACTTTGAAATTTATCTTGAAATCAAATTTTAAAATTATTATAGGTTTATTTTAGGTTTTATAAAATTTGCATAGATAGAATTGTAACTGTATTGAGTCTTAGAAAAAAATGAATTAAGTGTTGATTTGGGGACTGATTATTCTAAATAGGATTACTTCATCTTTTGCTACATTTTCATGAAGTTTTTTAAAAAGATATATTCAAAAACATAAGTTTTCTCAAGGGCCTGTCTTAATCCTTTGATAGCTATATTATTCTTCACTTATTAACCATCACCCCAGACCCCCAAATAAGCTTCTTGCCTCTGTGGACTAATTCCCTTCTCTCTCATTTGAGCAGGGAAGTCAAAATTGCAATTAAAATTACTGTAGCAAGTGCTAGAATTTTGAGGAAGAGGAGGAGATAGTGTTTTTTGTTTGTTTGTTTGATATTTCAAACAAATAGAATTAAAATTCTGTATTGAATTTTAGATGTCTTTATCATTAAAAGTTGCCTTTAAGGAGAAAAATTATGGAATTGAGGAACTAAGGGGAAAGGAAGACTTTTAACTACATGTACCCTTTGGCAAATTTCAAAACTAGTACTGTGTTTGTCTGTTTTCTATTCAGATAAAAAATTTTAAGTAACTGAAAAGAAAGCATCTGGAAAGATTTGCCTATTAATAAAAGTGTAAGGACATTATTATATTAGATCATTTCATTTTTCTTCCTCTGAGAGTCCCTTGAAAGTGTTCAGGATAGAATGATCCTTCAAGTTACAATGTTTGAGAACAGAAAAAAATTATATTATTCCATCATAATGCTCTTAGACTACCTTATTTACAAAAAAATTCTTGAATAATCTACATGAGGTAGTCGATTCAACTTTTATTATTTAAGGAGATATTTAAAACATGGGCCCTTTGGGACTATATGTACTAGCATGAAAATTATACATATAAGTAAGTGAAAAAAGGCAAATTATTAGGAAATGTTTAGTACAAATACTGGTCGTTTTAAATAAAAATGATTTGCCTTTAAATGTATAATATGTAGCCATATAAATATACATATATATGCTATATATATTTTATAAGCTCTGAATGTGTATTTGTATGTGTAAGTGTCCGAGGGGGGTGGTATATGTTGAGTAAAAGGTCTGGAATGCTGCAAATAAAACTATGCACTGACAGTCCCTAAAAATATTTTTAAATTTTATGTTTCAATTACAGTTGATGGTCAATTTTATATTAGTTTCAGGTGTACAAAATAGTAATTAGACACAAATATAACTTATGAAAGGATCACTTCACTAAGTCTGGTACCCACCTGGCAAAATACATAGTTATTACAATATTAATGGCAATATTTCCTGTGCTGTACTTTATATCCTCTTGACTATTTTGTAATTGCAAATTCATGCTTTGTAATCCTTGGTGGAAGTATACTTTTGCAGTTTTACTTTAAACTTTTTTTTTAAAATTTGTAATTTAAAAACATTTTTAAAGAATAGAACTTCTAGTCAAGATGGTGGTATAGGTAAACACGGTTTGCCTTCTTGCACAACCACATCAAAGTTACAACGAAACTATAGAACCATCAAAAATAGAGCCAAATGGAAGTCCTACAACTATGGAATTAAAGAAGAAACTATATTGAGACTGGTAGGAGGAGAGGAGACATGGAACAGGTTGTTCCCACGACCATCTGTGGTAGATAAAAAGTGGTAGGGATATCTCGGGAGTGAAGGGTCCCAACCCCACACAAGTCCCCCCCAGCCCAAGGTTCCAGTGCCAGGAAAGGAAGTTGCCATGACTTCTGGCTGTAAAAACCAGTGGAAGACAGAAGCTGCTGGGCTGCCTGGCAGTACCTCTTAAAGGGCCCATGCAGACTTACTCAGACTCACTCCTGCTGAGATGCAGCGTGGGGATAGCAGATTGAAAAGCACCAGAGAAATATAGGGAGGAACTGAATTGTCTGGCATCAGAGCAAGAGCTGGGGGGCAGCTTTCTTCCAGAGAGAAGTGCTGGCAGAGGCCACTGTTCCTTTTCTGAGCTCTCCTCATACAAAGCCACAGAGCCACAGAGCCAGCAGGCATGTGCCATATCTGAGGCTTCATCAAACTGGCTCACACTATTTGTCCTACACTGGTGATTCTCTGTAGACCTGTCCCACCCAAATTTTAGGCACACTCAAGCTGTTTCCACTGGCTTTTCCATACAAATGGCTTGTCTTGGCCGATGCTTAAGATTTTTCTAAATTCTCTCAAACAAGCAGCATCTGGCTTCAGCAAGTCCCATACTTCTCACTAAGTTGCCCCAGGCCCAGCACTAGTAGTGGCCAGTGTTGATTCAAGCTTGGCCTCACCTGGGCACCTCCAATCCCAGCACAAGTAGCAGCCATCAGCAGATTGCTTTATTGCTTATGTTGAGTAATCCTGGACAGAAAACAGTCAGTGGCTGACCTTGGACATGCCAACAGTAATCAAGGTTCAACTACAATAGGAGGATTTACACAGCCCAAAGAGTGGGCACACCTCAAATACCCAGCTTGAGTAATAGGTAAGTCTGTGCCACGGGACCCTACAGGACACCTACTATATTAGACTGCTCTACCAAATCTGGGAGACATAGCATCTCTACCAAATACATAGAAACAAACACAGGAGGCTGCCAAATGAGGAGACAAAGAAACATGGCCCAAATGAAAGAACAGAACAAAACCCCAGAAAAAAGAACTTAAGAAAATAATTCTTTAATAGACGAGCAAGCTACTAGATGCATAGTTCAAAACACTGGTTATAGGATGCTCAAGGAACTTAGAGCCTCAACAACATTAAAAAAAAAAATCCAGTTGGAAATGAAGGATATGCTAACTAAAGTAAAGAACGATTTACAGGAAGTCAACAGTAGAGTAGAGGAAGCTGAGAATCAAATCAGTGATTTGGAATATAGGGAAGCCAAAAACGAAAAAAAGAAAAAAAAAACACCCCAAACCAGCCAATCAGAACAGCAAGAAGAAGAAAGAATTCAAAGAAATGAGGATAATATAAGGAGCCTCTGGGACAACTTCAAATGTAACAACATTCACATCATGGGGGTGCCAGAAGGAGAAGAGAGAGAATGAGAAATTGGAAATGTATTTGAAAAAATGACAGAAAACTTTCCTAACTTGGTAAAGCAAATAGACACACAAGTACAGGAAGCACAAAAAGCCCCGAACAAGATGAACCCAAAGAGGTCCACACCAAGACACATAATAATTAAAATGCCAAAGGTTAAATACACAGAAAGAATCTTAAGACCAGCAAGAGAAAAGCAATTAGTTAGCTACAAGGGAGTTCCAATAAGACTATCAGCTGATTTCTCAAAAGAAACTTTGCAGGCTAGAAGAGATTGGCAAGAAATATTCAAAATTATGAAGAGCAAGGGCCTACAGCCAAGATTACTCTAACCAGAAAAGCAATAATTTAGAATTGAAGGGCAGATAAAGAGCTTCCCAGACAAGAAAAAGCTAAAGGAATTCATCACAACCAAACCAATATTATATGAAATGTTAAAGGGTCTTTAAAAATAAGATAAAAAATATTAACAATATAATGGCAATAAATACATACCTATCAACAATTGAATATAAGAGAAGAGTACCATATGATTTTGCTCATATGTGGAATCTAGGGAACAAACTGGACTAACAAGGAAAATGGGGACAGACTCACAGATGGAGTGCAGGACGACCGCGGTGGGGGTGTTAGGGGGTGGAGGAATTGAGCAAAAAGGAAAAAGGACTCATGGACATGGACAACAGTGTAGTGATTGCTGGGAGGAGGGGGTATTAGGGGACTAAATGGTAATGGAAAAAAAGATTAAAACAAAAATTAAAAACATTGAATCTAAAAACAAAATAAACAAGCAGAAGAGAAACAGAATCTCATAGATACAGAGAACATTTTGATGGTTGCCAGGTGGGAAGGGTGAGGCGGGATGGGTGAAAAAGGTGAAGGGATTAAGAAGTACAAATTGGTAGTTACAGAATAGCTATGGGGATGTAAAGTACAATGTAGGGAATGTAGTGGCCGAAGAACAGATACACATGACCCATGGACATGGACAACAGTGTGGGGATGGCCTGAGGGACTGGTGGGTCTGGGTGGAGCAGGTCAAAGGGGGGAAAATTGGGACACCTGTAATAGCACAATCAAGAAAATATAATTTAAAAAATAAAAAGAATAAAAGTATGTATTTTATTTGGTGATTACAATTTATAAAATTCACACATTCTAAATTTATACTATAAGAAATCTTGCAATTCTAAGTTTTCATTTTAGTGATAAAATTCTTAATGTTCCAGTCCTGTTTAAAATTTTATGTACCACCTGGAAACTGACATAATGCCTAGTGCCCCAAGGCATGCTGAGTATTGCCCAAACTAAACAGCAAAAAGGTCTGCTCCAGCTAGGGTTAGGGCTTAGAGAGCTAGCTACATTACCCCACCCAGATATGCCTGTGAGGAGACCTGGTGATCTGGGATATTTGCTAGATGTTTTGCCTATTCTGGGTTCTAAATGAATCCCTGTAAATCATATAAGGGA